CCCCTGCAGCTTTGCAGGCAGCAGGGAACCCTTTCCCACCGCTTACCTGAAGCCCCAAACCCCACAGAGCTACTTTCCCTTGGACACCTACGTGCCCAGGGCAGCCGGAACCAGCACCGTGGGCTCCCCACCCGCCGAGCCTGCAGCTCTTCCCAGGGATGCTGACCCACCACGGCCACCCGGCTGCTTGACAAGCCCTGGTTTTGCCTTCAGCCCCGGTGACGGGGCCGCGTTTGGTGCCTCCTCGGTGAGCACGGAGCCAGAGAGCCCCCGGCAGCCACCGAGACACAGCAGTGCCTTCCAGCCCCTCTGCACCCCTGAGCAGCTGGCTGGGGGCTCCAGTGGGCTGGCACCCAAAGGAGAAAGGGGCTGGGTGGAAGCCAGGCAGGGGGAGCAGGAACCCCCTTACCTGGGGAGGAGTAGGGCGAGCTCAGCCCCCCAGGAGACCCACCACGGGGGTCCCCCAGCTCCCAGAAGTGCCTGCAAGGTCAAGGACTCAGCCAAGAAGCTTGTTGTCCCTTCTCCAGCCACCCTTCCCCCGGGGGAGCTGAAGGACCCCAGGGATGGTGAGGTGTCTCCTTCCTCCCCACCCATGCCAGTGATCAACTATGTCTTCAGCCTGGCTCCCTACCGACACTACCTGGAGAGGACTGAGGCCTCAGCCCAGGTCCCCTTCCCCAGGGACCCCCCACCCCGACCCACGGGGGGCAGCCGGGAGCCCACGGCCCTTGGGGACATCTCGGCCACGGCCAGTGACACGATGCAGAGCCGAGAGGAAAGGTGTCATGGAGAAGCTGAAAAGCCAGAGCCCCAAGACACGGGGTCTCAAGAGAGCAGCCCCGGGGGGGTGGGGAGTGAGGAGCTGGTCCTCGAGGCTGTTGTGCTGGACCTCAGCTTGAAGAAGAGCCTGGAGAAATCTGGGGAGAGCCAGGGAGTGACCAGCCCTGGGGAGGCAATGCCAGCCTGGCATGGGATGGATGGACAGGAGAAGGAGGATGGAGAGAAGAAGGATGGAGAGAAGGAGGATGGAGAGGAGAAGGAGGATGGAGAGGAGAAGAAGGATGGAGAGGAGAAGAAGGATGGAGAGGAGAAGAAGGAGGATACAGAGAGGAAGAAGGAGGATGCAGAGGGGAAGGTGGTGGGCGAGGGGGCTGAGCCCCACTCTCCCCCCTTGCTGCTGGAGATCAAGAGCACCTTCCAGAGCTCGGCCACCTTCATGTTCAAGAAGTTCAAGATCCGCCGCTCCCTCCCGCCCAGCAACGTGCCCCCCAGGGAGGCCAGAGCCCCCCAGCTCAGACCCCGAGCCGTGCCACGGGTTGCCCTGGCCCCACAGCAGCCCCTTCTGCCCCAAGCCCCCCGTGCTGCAGGGAATGAGAGGGCCTGGCCCGTGGGGCTGAGCGTGGCCCCTGCAGCACAGGGCTCTGCTGGGCACTTCACCACCCTGCACACCTCCCTGTGCCACCTCCTCTCCTGCTCCGTGTCCCAGTCCTCCCCCCAGCTCCTGCGGGAGTGGCTGAAGAGGGCAGAGCCTGCGGAGGAGCTGGGAGAGGCGCCCAAATTGCCCCTCAAACCCAAGAACAGCTCCAGGAGCCCTGAACCCCAGAAAGCCACCAAAGGCAAGGAGATCTGGCTGGCTTTCCAAGACGTGGCCTCTCTCCTCACCAACCTGCTGTCTCAGCTGGAGACCTTCATGTTCTCTCGCCAGTGTCCTTTCCCCCACGTGTTTCGTGCAGGGGCCATCTTCATCCCCATCCACGTGGTGAAGGAGAAGCTCTTCCCCAAGCTCCCCGGGGCCTCCGTGGACCAAGTGCTGCAGGAGCACAAAGTGGAGCTGCGTCCCACCACCCTCTCGGAGGAGAGGCACCTGAGGGACCTGGAGCTGAAGAGCTGCACCTCACGCATGCTGAAGCTCCTGGCACTCAAGCAGCTCCGTGACATCTACCCCGACCTGCTGACCCTCCACTGGCACAGCTCCATCAGGCAGCAACTTGGTAGGTACCCCAGCATCAACCCAGGGATTGATGGAGGTCCCTGGGTCTCTGCCAAGGAAGTTCCAGCAGCATCTGCCTCCTGGATGTTGGTGTTTGGTGGGAGCATCTGTTGCTTTTGTGGTCCCTCTGCAGCCTGGTCCTGCCAAGGCTGCTGCAGAGCAGGACATTCAGCTTTTCTCTGGGGGTTGCAGAGGGAGGAAGCTTGAGCTGGGGGTGGTGGTGAAGCCAGGGGGTCGGTCCCTACCTGCCTGGGTGACAAAAATCAGCCTGGTGGCTTTGAAGAGGTGGCTGTCACCTCCAGGCCACCTTTCCCCCTCCAAGGGCAGCTGGGGAAGAGGCAGCAGGCTGGGTCTGCCACCCATGACAGCCCCATCCTACCAGTGACAGTCCCACCTCCCTCCCACCCCCCTGTGTCCCTTTCCTGCTGCTTGAAACCACTGCCCACAACTTCATGTCTTGCAGGTCCCAGCGCCCAGGCTGCCCAGCAGCTCCCCAAGTAGGTAACTCTCCCTGTGCCAGCCTGGAGTTGTCTCTGTGTGTGGTTACCTGGAGGTCCATGTCTGGATGTGCATCTGCCTGGGGGGCTTGGGCTGGAGAGGAGCACACGACTGGGACCTGCTGGGCTGGGCTGGGCTGGGCTGGGCTGGAGGGGGGATGATTTGGGATGGGAAGGTGGAGATCCCACCATCCCTGACCCCTCTGTCCTCTCCCAGCTAGGCCTGGCGTGGAGGAACTGAGAGCTGCTGGCAAAGCACGGGTAGCACCAAGGGAGAGGAGGACCTGAGGGATGTGTCCAGGGCACCAGGGCAGCTGCCAACCCGTGGGGACAGGAAAGGGAAGGTCCCCCCTTGTCCCCAGAGCGGGGTCCCCTCCGGTGGCGATGCCGGTGTGGATCTGGGAGATGTTGAGCTCCTTCCTGCACCCCAGGATGGGGACAGGTCCTCCTGGGATGCTGGTGAAGATGCCACGTGGTGGCCACACGCCCCAGAGATGTTCCATGGCCACCAGCAGGGACGGCCAAGGTGGTTCCCTGGCATCCAGTGGAGATGGGCTGGATCTCATCCTGGAGCTTCATGCATCATCTTCTAGTGCCTTTCCCACATCCATCCGTGGTGGGGCAGGACTGGGAGGGAATGACTGGAGTCCCAGCAGGGCTGGAAGGCTGGAAGAGCCTTCCTACCCACAAGAGGAGCATGGAAATGGCCACACCACCGTCTCCAGCCTTGGGGAAGGGCTGGTTACTGCACAGATCATCTCCCACCTCCTGCCCTCCCTCCTCCAACTCACCTCTCCTGCTTCATACCTGTCCTTCCCAATAAACATCCCTGGCTCCTGGCTTTTCATCTTCATGCCCAACCTTCATTGTCAAGGGAATCACAGCTTCTGTAGTTCCCAGGACTGATGTTTTTTCTTGTTTTAAATGAAGACATTTTAAAAATGTTACCAACTGACCTTTATAAGGAGCTGCTGCCTTCAGGTTTTCTGGGTTGATTTTTAAAAAAACATAGTAATTTATACTTCTTTTTTGTAATTTAAACTCCTGGTTTGACTCTGCTGGACCACAGGGGTGGGAGCTTTGCAATTCGGCCCGAGGGTTTCAGTCCAGAAAGAGCCTCCAAGAAGGATTTCAAGACTGTTCCAGAAAAACCAAACCACTTGACCCAACACAGATTGTCCCAGAGGAGAACCTGGGAGGTGCAGGTTTGGGGATAACACCTTTGGAGAGTGACAACACCGTGGTGACCTGAGGAGCAGGAGAGGAGAACAAGGCAGGGAGACCTTGGAAGGAGAGATCATCACCCTCCTGGTGGGCACTGAGGGGGTGGTGGGGATCCCAGGAGGGATCCCAAGGATGGACAGATGGATTCACTGTCACCAGCTCTGCAACACTGACAGGCAGCAGAGGCCTTACAAACTCAACACTCAGGTTGATGGAGGGTGTGGAGGAACAAAGAGGATTTTCTTATGCTTTATTTTCTAGTTCACTACAGGAAATATTTATTTTAGACTTAAGAAAAATTGAGAAGAGAAAAAAAACAAGAAAAATACCCAACAACAACCCTACTCAAACTACCACAGACTTGGGTTTTTTTTTCCTGTGGTGGTTCCTGCAGGTGCCTTTCTGGTTTTCTACTGGGATGTACTGGCCATGTGAGGGGATGGGAAGGGATGGGGACTCTGGTTCTTGCTCTCCTTTGTCACCCTGGGTCTGTGCATTGTGTTGTGAAGCAGTATTTGTCATCAGGGGGGCATTTTATATATATATAAATATATATATATATAAAATCTCTTGAGGTTCCAGGGAAGCCAGTTCCTTCACTTTATTTAATGTTTTGTAAGAATCTTGGGGTTTTAAGAGGTGCCTGGCCTGATTAAAAGGGTTTGGCTCATTTTCAACTGTGCTTTGGTCTCTGCTTGGTCACCTTCTGGGGATGGGGAGGGTCCCAACTCAACGCCCAACATCTCCCTGGTTGGAGCAACACATCCTCTGCCTGGTTCCCAAAGCCCAAATCTCCTGGTTTTCAGCCCAAATTATTGGAGCCAGGCATGGGAACAGCCCAGCCATGACCCCCTCCCAGGGAAGAGGGTGTTTTGGGGAGTATCTGGGGTGTCGGGGGTTGAATAATCCACCTGGAGAAACAACCTGCCCTGCAAGGGCTTCCTGGGGAGCAGAGGGAAGGCAGCAAGGGAGGAGCTTCACCTGGGGGAGTGCTAATTAGTTGAGGGTGTTAATGAGGAGCAGCTGGGATGGGGCTTGGGAGGTGGGATAAAAAGCTGGGGCTGGGGGGGAGGAGGAGGTTTGGGGTTCTCTTCTCTTGGGGTGCTGCCAGGTAAGGGGGTGCTGGGATTGAGCTGGGGTCGTCCCTGTTGGGGTCACCTGGGGGCTTGGGGACAGGGCCTGGGGCTGTGTCTGTGTCTGTGCTCCAGCTCTGCCCCAGGAGCTCTCCAGGAGGTGCTGAGGCTTGGCCCAAGCTTGGGGGTGGTGGTGGGAGGGTTTGGGGGCCCCCAAGTTAAGTCTCCTTCTGTTCCTTCTCCACCAGGTTCCCCCCCATGACCTCTCCCGGGTGGAGCCCAAGGCTGGGGCCACCAGACCCCATGGATGTCACTGCCTTGCAGCCCAAAGCCACCCTCTGTGGCCAGAGGGAAGGGGCTCTGGGTCCTGCTGCTCCCGTGGCCACCAGGCTGTGGTGCAAAGCCTTCCTGGTGCTGACCATCTGCTTGGCCACCCCTGCTCTGCTGTGGGACCCCCTGGGCTCCCTGCCTCCTCCCCAAGCTCAGCTGAGCCCACCAGCCTCTGGGCAAGGGGCAGGTGACAATCTGGTGGCAACAGGTGGGGACCCACTCCCCAGAGAGGAGGAGCAGCAGCATGGGAGGACACTGAGGGGCTCTGCAGGCATCTCAGGCTGCTTCCTGGGGCTGGAAGGAGATGTGTCCCATGGTACAGATGGCAAGGAAGGGAGCTTGGGGACACCGACTGTAGCCACCACCCAGCTGGTCTCACCTTCTGAAGGTGTCCCATCTGATGTCCCAGCACGTGCAGGCTCTCCCTCCCAGAGCCACAGCACAGCAGACCAACCTGGAGGTGACCTGGCCCTGGGGACATCCCCTGGCCAGCACACCATGCTCAGCAGAGCTGTGACAGCAGCCTGGGGTGACATCAGCATGTCTGCTTCTGAGCCATCTGCAGCCAGTGGCTTCTCTGCTTTTTTTGGGACACCAGGGCCACGATGAGGAGCCACAATGGGCAGGAGGAAGAGGTGAGACCAAGCCCTGGCCCACCCGACCTGGGGGCAATTGGGGACCACACTGCTGCTTCTCCTCCCCTGGTGCCCCTTCCAGGGCTGCCCTCAGCTCTGCCATCAGAAAGGACATCCAGCTCCACCAGAATCCATCCTGGCACCATCTGGGTACCCTCTGCTGTGACACTCGAGATGCTCTGGGACACACCACCTGGTGGCCTCTCCCTGCAGGACAAAGCTGCTCTGCTGCTGGAAGCCCCAGGGAATGGGTCTGGACTTCTGGCTGCTGCCTTGGCATCACCTCCCACTGCTGCCTTGCCCCGTGGTGTCCACCACCCACCAGTGGCACCTCCCTTCCTTCCCACGAAGGAGTCTGGGGGTCCTGCTGTCACCCTGGAGAAGCTAAGTCACCCATCTTCCCTCCCTGCACAGCAGACCCTGCTGACTCCCACCAAAGCCCACCCTCTCCCTGCTTGGACAGGAGCTCCCAGTGCTGCAGGTGCCCAGGCTGGGGTGAGCTCTGCAGCCCCTGATGCCACCCCAGAGCCTGGAGCCACCAAAGCCCCCTCTGAGGCTGGAGCTGCTAGGGTGGCTTCCCTCTCTCCAAGACCTGCAGGTGTGACACACACCTTCCCCCTGGGGTCACCTGCCCAGAAGCCACCTCTGCACCCAGACCCCACCTCAGGGCACTGCCAGGCTGTGATGGGGGCAGGAGCAGATGGGCACAGTGAGCCCAGGGCAGCTCCAGCAGGTCCCACCACTGCTCCAGCAGGACCTCCAGGGCCCAGCCAGCCCAGCCCAACTCTGGAGCATCAATCTGAGGCTGTGCACCACACCAGCACCACAGCTGGGCCATCTCCATCCCACCTGCTGCCTTCTACTGGTGCTGCCAGCCCCACACTCAACTCATGGACCCCAACTGCACCAGCAGCAGGGGTGCCTGGTGCTCCCTCCAGCTCTGGTCCCCCTGGCACCTCCCAGCTCCCTGCTGCAGCCAAAGAGCATCTCCCTGAGGCTGCAGGAGAGGCCTTCACCCCAGCTGAGCTGGTGCCCATGGTGAAGCCCCCTGAGATCTCCTCTCCCCTGCACGTGCTGCCCCTGCAGTTCCGGCTCTTGGGTCTTCCTTACACCCATGCCCTGAGCAGAAGGTCTTCAAGGAGCTACCAGGAGCTGGAGGGAGAAGTGAGGCTGCTGGTGAGTGCAGGAGCTTGGTTGGTGGAGATGTTGGCACTTCTGGGTGCAAGGAGGGGCAGGGGAGAAGCTGCAGCAGCAGCAAACCTTGAGGAGCCTGCAGGCTGCATCAGCCCTGGCTTGGTCCATCACCCACCTGGGCATGGAGGGGACCAGGACATCCCTGGAAGAGCTTTGCTGGAGCTGGACTTGGGGATGCTTGGGTTGGGGTGGGACTGGACTCACCTCTGGCAAGGAGCAGGGCCATGGGGATGGTGCTGGGGTGTTCCCTCCTGGGGCCCAGAGGTCTTCTTCATGTGGGGGACTCAGCAGAACCTTCTCATGTAGTAGCTGGTTCTTTCTTCCAGCTAAACCAGATGCTGTCCACCTATGAGACCTTCCTGCAGGCAGATGTCCTTGAGTTTCTGTGAGTACCCAGCTCTGCTCTGGGGCAACTGGTGGAGAGGGGTGGGCTGGGCTTGGAGGGGAGGACTTGCCCAGTAAAATGCTCCAGAAGAAGCAGGTGGGTCTTGTGAGGGATGATGCTCCTTCCCCAGGGTCACCACCCCTGGTTGAGAGGGTCTGAAGATCCAGACAAAGCCACCTGAGACCCCTCTGTGGTTGGGAGGTTGCTGTGGGGCTGCTGGGGCTCTAAAGCTGCTCCCACAGGGAGGTGGTTGCCCAGCATCTCCTCTCCCTCCCAGGAAGGGCTCGGTGGTGGTGAGAGGACAAGCTGTGTTCCAGGGGGATCTCCCTGCTCCCACCAACTCCCACCTCATCCGGACACTTGTCACCAAGGCCAGCAGAGGAAGGAGCATCTTCAGCTGGAGACTGGAGCCCCAGTCTGTCCAGTCTGGTGGTAAGCCATGGAGACCTCCAGCAGCAGAGCTGCTGCTGCCAAGTGTCCTCCCTAGACATCTAGGAGGCCAAAACCTGCCCAGTTTGGACTTCAGGCTTCACCTTCACTTCTCCTGACACACACAAAATCCTCTGGTGCTAAGGTTGCTGCAGGCCATGTCCACAGCAGCTGGACCTGTGTGCTCCAGTGCTCTCCTTGACCTGCTCCTGAGAGGTGGTAGATCCCAAGCCCTTCCCACCACAAAAGGGACAGGTCTTCACCCTTCCTTAGCTGCCCTGCTGGCTTCTGCTCTCCCTGTGTGGCAGCTCAAGGCTGGCTGATGTCCCAGGGAAGCTGGAGGAGAAGGTCTGAGCATAATTGTCTTCTGCACTCTTCTAGGCTTCAGCCTGGAGAACCTGGACCCAGAGAAGCTGTCCATCTCTCTCTCTGTCTTCCAGCTTGGGAGGAGCAGGATGGACATCCTGGAGAGTCTGATCAGTGAGGTATGGCCAGGCTTGGTGGATCTTCTGGGAGCTTGGCCTGTGAGGACAACAGGCCCAGGCTGGCTGCAAGGTGGGACAGCCCCTGGTGGGCAGGGTGTGAGCTGTTGTCTCCTCTTCCTCCAGGTGACTCTGTCTCTCAGTGGCCTCTACCATGTGAGGAACTTCACCATCACCCAGCTCAGGTATGGGATGCAATTCCCCTTTTCCTAAAGCTCTTCTTGAAGGTATCTCCCCTGCTTCTTGTCTGCTCAGCACCCAATGAGCCCTGGTAGCTCCTCTCCTGGGCTGAGTGGAAACAAGACCAGCAAGGATGTGCTTGGTGAGCCTGGTCCCAGCTCCTGCCTTGCCTAGAGCTCTTCTCTCCCCTTAGGAACACCAGTGGGTTCCTGGAGGTCACTGGAGACCTCTACCTGGACACAATTGTCCATGCTGATGTTGCAGAGGTTCTCCAAGCCCTGACAGCTCTTGCAGCCTGCTCTGTGGACCTGACCTCCCTCTGGGTGGAGGGTAAGGACAGTCCCTGGGGGTGGCAGGGGCGGCTGCCAGCTCTGCTCCCCTCACCCCCCTGTCCTGCCCCTCCAGGAGCCAGACCTCACCTGCAGGTTTACCCCGTCTCCTTCCTGGTCACCAACAGACCCTTCAGCCAGGACCTTCTGGATCCAGCTGCTGCAGAGCAGCAGGAACTCACCAGAGACCTTGGTGATGCGGTAGGTGGGAGCAGGCTGAGGTCCCCCCAGGTGCTGAGGACCACCAGAGGGAGAGGGGGCTGCTTTGGGGTTGTCCAAACCAGAGCCCCTCAGCTCGAGGGCTGTGGCTGGTACCTGCTGAAGGTCAGCACTGAGGCCTTGGGGTGTTTTCTCTCTGCTGATGGGGCTTCAGGCCACCACAAAATGCAGGCAGAGACCTGCAGGAGGGGCAGGACCCTGTGTCCTTGCTGGCCTGGCTGTCCCAGGTCCCTTGTGGCTGTGGAAGTGGTGGGTGAAACACCCTGATGGCTGAGCCAAACCTCTCTTCCAGGTGGCAAGAGCCCTGAAGGACCAGAGGAGCTTCCTGCAAGTGGTGATCAGAGGGTTCCTGTGAGTGGGAGCAGAGGGTCTGCATGGGCAGGAGGGAGGGGTGTCTGGATCCAGGCAGGTTTCCCTGCAGACATCACCCACCACGTGGCTGTGGGTGACAGCTGGGGCTGGAGCTCTTCCCAAACTTTCCACAGGCCTGGCTCCTTGATCTGCCACGGGGATGTGGTCTTCCAGCACCCTGCTCCCACCAGCCTGGAGGTTTTGGAGGCCCTTGTGCTCTCACTGGGGCCAAGTAAAGCTTTGGCTGGCTCAGACTTTGAAGTGGACCCATATTCTCTTGCTGTGGGAGGTAAGTTTCCCTTTGGGGTGTGGGAAGAGGAGCTTCACCAGCTCCAGACCTGCAGTGGGAACAGAGTTGATCCACAACCAGTTGGCTCCAGCTCTCTTATGGAAAACCATAGTGAGATGTCTTGGCTGGTGAAGTGACCACCTTAGGGTGGCTGGTCTGAAAGCAGAATTCCAGCACTAAATGTGGCCTTGGGGACCCAGAGCTGGGGAGATGCTGCAGGATGGCCCAGGACAGGAGGGAAGGGTTGTCTGGCAAGGGTGTCAATAGAGGTGATTGTGTCCTCTGTACCCCCTGCAGGGTCCCAAAGGAGGGGTGGGGGGGTGGCTGGGGAAGAGCCCCCGTGTCCTGCAGCCTGTCCTCACTGCTGTGCCCTCCTGCAGGGGACACCTTGGAGCCCCCCCAGCCCCAACCAGGCTTTCCAGAGTATGGGGTGGCCATCCTGGTCCTGGGTGGCTTCTGCCTCATCACTGCTCCCCTGGTCTTGCTGCTGGTAAGGGTGATGTCTGTGTCTGTCTGCTGTGGACCAGGCTGGGACAAAGCAGCCCCAGGTCTGGCTGCAGCCTCCACCTTCTCCTCCCTAGTGTCTGAGGACCAAGAGGCTCAGCCGGTGGGATGTGACAGTTCTCTGGGACAGAAGAGACCCTGAAGCAGGGACCCAGACCTTGGAGATGGAAAACAGAGGGTTCTGGACATCTGCTGAGCAGGCAAGTGGTTGGGTGTTGTGCCTTGGAGGTAGAGCTTGGAAAGCAGAGCTGGGGGGGGGGTGTGTGTTTCTGTAGGTCACAGGGCCCTGGTGATGGTTCTGGGCCAGGGTGGGAGTTGGAAGAACCCCTTGGAGGGGTTTTTGGGGGGAAGGAGACCTCCCCCCTGCCCTTGCTGGAGGTGGGCACAGTGACTTCTCTCCCCCCCCAGGGCCCTGAGGATGATCCCATGAGCTGGCAAAGTGACTCTGCATGATGGGAGAAGATGCAGCTGATGGAGCAGAGCCCAAAGAGGGGTTGGGGGTTGAGGGGGGTGGGAGGCTGAGAAGCTGCAGCCACCCCTGGAGCAGGACCTGGGCTCAGAGGGGTGGAGGAAGGAGCAACTTTGTATGTTGAACTTGAAATAAACTGTTTCTAGACTTGTTGAACCCAGCTGTGAACAGGCCCTGTTTTGTTTTGGTTTTTTTTTTGGGGGGGGGATGCTAAATGGTCAAGGAAATACAGCCCTGGGAGGGGTGGAATTGCTGAGAGGAGAGAAGTGGGAATGTTGGGATTCATGGAATGAATCTTAGAATTCATTTGATGACCAGGCAAACTGATGCTGTTCTGGTGGAACTGGAGATGAGCTCTGGGGCCTGAACCCCTCAGCCTTTTACCCCCCCAGAATAACATCAAACCAAGGAGATCATCACTCAGAATCACTTTAGCTGAGGGTCAAAGGGAGGAACCAACACCTCACTTGGAGAAATGGGCCAGTTAAAGAATGATCCTGCTGAGAAGTGAGTGATGATGAACCCCCCCCCCTCTCCTGCCAGAAGCAGGAAGTTCTTTTGAGAGGGAGGAACCTGCTGCACCCCCAACCTTCCCAGCACATCTAGGGCCACAGATTTCTCCAGAAGGGACTTAACTTCTCTCTGGGCTCTCACCTACCCCCAGCACCTGCCTGCAGAGTAAGAAGTGGAACCCAAACCCTGCCCAGCTGTGAAAAAGGAAGAGATTCTGCAGCATCTCTAGAAATGCTGGTTTTCTAGAAGTGACTCAGCTTGGCAGGAAGCAAGGGGGGGTGTCTGTGGTGTGGAGATGCTGCCAAACCCAGAGGGAACCCCAAAAATGGGCTGGGCTGCTAGAATTCCTGGACCTAAACAACTAAATGAATAATGAAAGAGAAGCTGAGGGGGAGAATTCCCCAGGTCCCTGTGGGCTGAACAGGCTGGGGCAGTTTGGGGCTGTAGGGATGATGGAGCAGGGGGGTCTGGCCTTGAACCCCCCAGGCTCCCCAGGACCATCCCCACACAACACCCCCCCCCAGGGAACTGTGAGAAACATTTGTGAAGCCAATGAAGAGACTCAAACTGATCCTTCAGTGAAGCACAGTTTATTTACACTCGTGCAAGAATGGGTGACCTAAAGCAGCAGCCCCACCTGCTCCTAAGGTGAGTAACTCTTTAATATTCCCTGTTCCCAGGTTCCTGGTTCCCCCCTGGCTGGGTAGCCCAGGGTTCACAGCCCATTTGCTGCTTCCAATGGGAAGGTTCCCACCCCTGTTGACACATTCCATCCTAACATTTGACCTTTATAAGGTTTAATCCTGACCTTTCCTGCCCCCTTGGCTGCCTTCCCAATCACCAACATGACCTGCACCCACTGCCCTGAGGAGCAGGACAGAAGTGACCTTGTTGGGTCTGATCTTGGCCATCAATCCTGCTCCATGTTGGGATCCCCCCCCAGTTCAGCCCCAATTTCTGGGCCCCTCAACCACCCCAGGTGTCCTGGGAACGTGCAGATCTCTCACTTCTCCCTTCAACTATTATAGACACCCTAGTGTGAGGAAGATACAGAAACTTGGGGATGAGGAAACAACCCAACATGTCATGTCTAACAGAACTGGAGGGGGGGGAGGAGGCTGGAGCCAGGGCGGG